ATAAAATACAACTGCTTTAGAAATGAGCTTAAATTTCAGATTATTGAAACACATTAGAGAGAAGGCATTTCTCCTTCAGAGGAGCCTACTGCAAGGAAAATGTCATCATTTCTTTTTAAATAAAAAATTAACAAAATTTCTTATAAGCAAAATAATCCCTAACTGCCCCCCTCCAAATCATTAGAATTATTCCAGTTTCAAGTCACAGAAACGTAATTCTAAGTAGCTAAAGGTAGGATGGGAATTTATGGGCAGACTTAATGGGAAATTCCAAGTACTGATGGTTAGGGTATGGATAGACCTAGGTGCTTAAAGTATGAGATCTGTGGCTTTCTACAGTGGCTTTTTGTTTGTATGTTTTTATTTGTTTTGAGAAAGCGTCTCAGGTGGACCTGGCTGGGCTTGAACTCTTTATGTAGTCAAAGATGATGCTGAACACCTGATCCTCTCAAGTGCTGGGATTATAAGCTTATACCAAGCTTGTATAAACCAGCTGCTTCATTTTTAAATAGTTGACCAGAAACAAAATGATTATAGAAGCTACAAACTTCTGAGAATTCAGCAAAAGTCTTAGGATTGTGTTTCCTCAGCCTGCAATGATTCATGGGGTATCTCAGTCATCTGCAGGATAAGGGAGAAAAGCTGGGAATGGCTGATTGGTGGCAATTTGAAAATTCATTATCTGAAAAATGTATTTTTAGCTAGTCATTAAGCTCCAAACATAGACAAGAATAGCAATGTATTGGCTGCCAACATACGTTAAAATACTTCATTAGGAAGTGCTGTGAGTCCTTGCTTTTGACCCCAAACCTAGTAAAATAACTATGATTCATGACTAACTTCTTTTATATCTTCAGTTCATCTGACTGCACCAAAATAGGAGTTTTATATTCCACTATGATCAAAGATACTGCATGCAAAAATAGCCTAAGGAACCACGATGCATGACTTTTTGGATGACGTTATTTTTAACATTGCTGAAATTTACAATTATTTTAAATACACTAAGTATAGAAGTAGATCCTAGAGGATGCTTTTGCAAATGTGTGCATGTTCTGAGTCTCGCAGGTCTCCTTCCCAGTCTCCAGTACAAAAGAGACCAGCCACAATAACCCAGTTCTAGCATCTCAGGTTTCAGGCCTAGTATGTCAACTCTGGTCAACATTTGTATCTGAACATACCAAGGTGTGAGGGTCAGTGTTGAACGTGTTGAACATACGTAGAGTTGCCCAAATGCAACTCAGCATCTACTTCCAGCACTAGAGAGAACCAGAAAGGACTATGCAGGGCTTCTGAGGAGATGGTACACAGAGGCTCAAAGAGCCCAAGTGTGAGGTTCCTTATAGGAAATTCAGGGGCATCTTAGGAATCCTTCTACCTATACGATTTGCTTTATACCCAAGTACAGGCAAGGTACACCTAATGCCTGATGTTGGTTTGGGACTGTACATTCATCACAGGTGGCTGGGTGCAGAGCCAGCCACCATAAAAGCTCTGACAAGAACTTGGCTTAGACATTAAAAAAATAGAGCTTCAGAGGTACTAAATGACTTTCCCACGATAAAGTGCTCACAAAGTAATACAGCAATTCTTTTCCTTATAGAAAGCCTAACAGCTATTTGCAGGGTAGTTGTACGTGGTAGAGAAGTTGCAGTTTGTTTTGCCTTCAGAGAGTTAATTATCTTGGCCCAATGAACCTTTTAAGATATTACAATAGTAATTTAAATCACCAGTTTGTGCTATTAAGGCAAGGGTTTCAAATCACAAAATGTGACTTCTAATGTTTTATGGATTTAGATCATAAGCAATCCATAATGGTTAGAAAGTAGACTCCTACTATAACTATACCATATCCCAATAATGTCTTTCAAATACCAGAATCACCCTAGACATAAAATTTTTTAAATTCATTAACATTATCATTGTGTATGTGCATGCATGGTGTGTGTGTGTGTGTGTGTGTGTGTGTGCGCGTGCGTGCATGCATGCATGCATGCCATTATCTGCATTTGGAAGGCAGAGGAGAGGTCAACTTTGTGGAGTCAGTTTTTTTCCTCCACCTTTACATGGGTTCTAGGAATTGACTTCAGTTCACCAGGCTTGTGCAGCAAGAGCCTTTACCCACTGAACCATCTCACTGGCCCCTAGAAATGGGATTATTTTTTAACTTTAAAAAAAATTATTGAGAATTTCATACATGCATATAAGATGTTTTGATCAAATCCACGCCTACCCCCTCCCCTCCAACTCCTTTCATATCTCCCCATCACTTTTTCCTGAACAACGTCCTGTATTCTTTCTTTTTTTTAATGGGGCTTTTTGCTACTCTAACATTTCCCCCTCTGAAGAGGTAACCCTAAAATCTCTTAGTGTTTATATAAGAGCTCCCAAATACTTTTGACATTTTTGGCCTTTGGAACAGAGTATGTTGCTAAGAGGCCCAAGTACATTTTGATTTTTATCCAAGAAACTGGCTACTTTTCTTTGGGGTCTTTTTACCTTAACTGCCTAGCCAATTCCTACCTCCTATTCTTGTCACACCATCCCCTGAAGAGGTTACCCAAATTGCCAATGATAGGAAATCAGGACACAGAATGTTCTGGCTTCTTCCATGTTGAACAGGGACACAGGGTGAGGCAACTGGGGTACCCCTCCAGTAGATCTATCTAATTTTTAAAATAACAAACTTTAGATAATTCTTAAGATCATAAACTTGGTTTAAAAAATTTTTAGTACATTTGTGTGTGTGTGTGTGTGTGTGTGTGTGTGTGTGTGTGTGTCTATGCACTCATGTATACCACAGGCATGGGGCCCAAATAACAACTTACAGGAATTCATTCTCTCCTTCCACTATGTAGGTCCCGGGGGATCAAACTCAGGTTGTCAGTCTTGGTGGCAAGCACCTTTATGCACTGAGCCGTATCACAGACCCTTATCTGGGTTTTTAAATGAAGGCAAAACCACAGGTGTTATCTCTTCAAGAAATGCTTTCTCAAACTCTCCTCCAAGCATTCACACCTAACAGAATAGAGCTGACAGTGGCCTGTGTTTAGGCTTCAAAATGGAGCAATTAAATCAGGTTTGGAGGATTATTTATCTTCTAAAAATTATGTGGCATATTTGTGCTTCAGAATGCTACAGACCTTTCTAAGCTATGAAGCTTTTTTTATACTAAAAAACATTTTTATCTTAAAAGGTACATTGCAATTTAGTCAAATTGTATAGTCACAGGTTTAATAAGCTGCAAGTCCTGATGACTACATTTCATAATATGATGACCACAAAGCAACAGAACACTTGGCATCTTAATATCAGTTTAAATTATACCTAATGTCCTGGTGGCCCCATTACTGTTATAGCCTCCGGGGGATTCCCTAAGCTGTCTCTATGGCTACCCCAGGTAGGGGAGGATTGTGTGCCTGGATATGAAGAACACAGATATAGAAAGAAGGCGTTTCTACTTCAAGGATACACAGTAAGTTCTGTGCATTTCAAAGCTTACACACACACACACACACACACACACACACACACCCCTTCCCATTTGCTTGCTGTGGTCAGGAAGCCAAGCTTTAGAAACTAAGCTTTGTTCTGAGCCTCCTTGTATTGTAGTGCCTTGCCAGCCTGTCTAGGTGACCTGTCCTTTTCTCTACTCCATGCCCTGGTACCTGAATCTCATTCTTTAACCTCTGTAGCGAGAGCTAATGACCTTTAGCTCTGTCAGATTTCTGATCTTTCACCAACCCTTTTTAAGGGTTCAGACTTAGGGAAGCAAATGTTTAAACTTATCAAGAAAATGCTGAAGTATTTACTGACAGCCTCAACCTCACTGAGGGAGATGCCCTCTGATGTCCTGAAAGGGGCATACAAAGGAGGTCTCATGCTGATTGATTTTGAAATTTCTAGCAGCCACAGAAAAGGGCTTACCTCTATTCCAGGAGATAAACAACACATCATAATATATTTATCAGCCTGGAGGCTTTTACTGTATTTGAAGAACCTTTTCTTTCCCTTTACCCTCATTCCAGCCCTCTTTCTCATTTACACAGACTCTCAAGGCCAGCAGAGACCTTGAGGGGTAGGGTGAAGTCTGGCTGCCCTTTCCCCCCTTTTGTCTTTCTGTGCATCTCAGATTGGCCGCCTCTCATCTCTGCATCTTTTCTTCCTCTCACCATTCCTGAAATTGTTGCTGCCTACAGAGTAGTCACAAATAAGCTCTTGGCCACTCCGGGGAATAAACGGTGTAAGCAAGATAAGCTTGGCATCAAAAGTTCTGCCTAATCAATGGCTGTTGGGAGGGCAAGAGTCAGTCTCTTTCAAGGATATGACTCTTGGTAGGTTGACCATGCTCCAATGGATGGACCCACACCCAAGGACATTTGGAGACATAAATTAGAGTCTATAGACCTTATTATTATAAATATATATTAAATTATATATAATAGAGTACAGTAAGTTGGGTGGGAGCAGTAACCGGATGTGCAGATATGGGAGGGGATCTAAATACCATCAAAGTGCATTGCATGAAAATCACAAAAATTCAATAAAAAAAGTTCTGCCTAGGTCATTACTGGGTTCTAAGACCAAACCACCCATCAGATCTGCCTGATCTCACACACATCCATGTAAGACCAGGTACTCAGTCACCTGCTGAGGTAATGAAAAAAAAGTTAAAGCTCAGCCAAGTAACTAATAAATTGAGAAGATACTCTCCTTTAGCATAGAAACACATCCTTAGGAGGCAATCTAACAAATAAAGAGAGTCAACAGTGAACACAGATCACCATCACTCCACAACTACTCTCTCTCTCTCTCTCTCTCTCTCTCACACACACACACACACAGACACACACACACACACACATGCACACACACACACACACACACACAAAGAGGTACGGAGAGTACTATCCATAAGACAGATGGGCTGGACTCTTGGCTGCCCTGATGAAAAAAGTCAGAAACTAAAGTTTCTGCTCTACTGGTATCAGAATACTCACCACTTCTTTGAGACTGGCTCACTTAAATACGGCTGGCCATTGCCATTTTGGGCTCATTTGTAAAATTCAGTTCTCCTCTTGTTTCTGGTTTTGAAGACCGTTAGTTCCTGCAGGTAATGAGAAAGAGGGATTTGAGGTACAGGCGAATGAACACACTAAAACGTAGTACAAGTCAGGCTCAAGGTGGTCCTCACTTAGGGAAGGTGCAGCAGTACGTGGTTGGTTTCGTTTCCCATTCTAGGCCTAGAGCACTATAAAAAGGCAAAAGTATTCTTCCATTGTACTAATGGAACTGACAGGGAAAACTGAAATAATTACACCTGGGTCCTCCATACTGAAAAATTCCCGGATGCTTCAAAGAGGTCCTACAATTGCCTTTGGAGATTCCAAAAAGACTTTTCATTCAAAAGTAGATGGGATGCAGAGGATTGAGCTGCCCACTAAATCAGAAGGACCAACCCAGGGAGGCACAGGGAGCATCAGTATAAACTTAATAGCAACCTGGGCTGCAATCCCTTTGCTACCCATATTTATATGGAAAGGAATCCCTTACTGGACCTCTTGCCATTGGACATGCTTTTAAAGAGATATCTTTCTAATCTTGCACAATTTATAAAGTAATTGGACATTCATTATTATCTTTGCTTTTTTATAATTCTAACTTTTTTGTATTTCTAGTTTCAAAAAAAGGACACTGGTACCCAAAGGCTTTAGGGCCTGTGCAAGGACACATGGGATTGATTACAAAGCCAGCACACAAACCAACTTTTCTTTACTTAAAAAATTATTTATTATTGTGTGTATGATGTGTGTGTGTCTGTGTGTGATGTATGGATGCTGCTGGGCATATGCAATGCAGCACATATAAAGGTCAGAGAAAAACTTGGGGGAGCTAGTTCTCTCCTCCAAATTTTATGTGGGCTCCAAGGACTGAGCTGAGACCATCAGGCTTGCACAGCATGCGCTTTACCCTCTGAGCATCATCTCAGCCCCTTGAAACACATTTTCTGACTCCCAGCCCGGTACACTTGCTTACCCCAGCAGTGCTCTTCCTTGCTTTTAGAGCCAAGATCACTATACCTTAGGCAGGAGTTACTACTTTTTAAAAGACATTTTGAAAGTACAAAGGAATTTTATATGTAACAAAATTGTCCTTCCTTGCATTTTTACCATGTCTTTCTACCAAAGAGTAAAATTACTAAATTATATGAATAATACCACGGCACCCTGAGATATTTAAATCTAAAGAACAAATCTGAAATCAACTTAGAACCCACTAATATTCCAAAGCTTTCATAAGTAAAAAGCAGTTATGATCTAAGGAGAGGAACTACAGAGCAGAATGCATTATGAAAACCTCACTTTGGCTATGTCATAATCACACAAGAGAAGACTGTCACTGTGCTGATGGGAGCATGTGTGTCTTCAGCTATTTGTCTTCTCAACTCTCTCTTTCTTGCCAGGTACTAAACTTTGCTAATTTCACAGAACTGTATAGCACTTCTTGGTATTATGTAAAACACTCTATTCAGACATGTTGACTTCACTAATTAGTCTATAAATACTTGACTTTTGCCCACTGCTTTGGTAAGTGAGATAATTACTGAGGAAAGGCCAAAGCATTTATGGTCAATCAGATGAGGAGAAAGGGGATATGGTCTTTTAGCTGAGTAAAATGTAAAACACCGTGGCCAGGCAAAAGCTATTAGTGGGATCAATATCTTACCTAGTACCTTAATAAATCATTGCATCAAAGCCTCAACATAGGATGGAGAAAACCTCAGTCTACCTCCCCTACAAGATTCCAAATTAGAAAATAAAATCCCATTTAAATTATAAAGACCTTATTGGTGAACACTGAATATGACAAGTTTCTAAACCAGTCTCCAAATTCTGGGTGTATAAAGAACACTGCATTATTAGTGAAAGAAGAAAGGCAGAAAGACAAAGCACACCGCCATTCTCTGCGCTGCACATTTCTAATCTGCAACTTGTAAATATGTATGAATCTGCCCCACTGCAGCTCCGGGATGACATACAGCTTTCTAGAGCTAGCACAGAGCAGAGACATCAAAGTGGAGGGTGGCTCAGCAGTCATAGTCAGCGCCCTCCTACAGTTAACGGGTTTCAATCTTTCCACCTCCACTTAAATTTCTTAAATTACTCTCCTTTGGGTACCATTTCCTAAAATGAAAAGCAGTTTAATAGCAGTGGACTTTCAACGTATGGCTTGAAGCATCCCACAGCGAGTTCTCACTATATCAAGAGATGTGAACAACAGTAAATTTTCTGAACGCTTCATCATTCCCATGGTCTTTGGTGGTCCTAGGAAAACACACAAGCAATTAAAAGAATTTTCTAGGCTTACTGGCCCAGTTTTCTTTTTAACTTTAGATTATTTTTCTTTTCTCACATGTATCCAAAACAAAAGAAACATTTGGCAGAAAGGGACAGCATAGAAATCAGCCTGTCCCCAAATGCAGAGAATAAGTGTAAGACATTTAACTCTTAAATGACACATATTCAATGCAACCTCTACACTTAGGATGAATGCATATTTTAACTCTCACTGAGAAGTTTCCTTATGCAGGAGATAATTAGCAGAGAAACCCACAATTGGGCCAACATGCAGAGACCAAGATGCCACAGAGCGCTTGTCCCTGAGTAATACACCTACTTCCAACCTCTGCCCCTCTTCCACCCCAAGGTTCAGGGATCATCTAAGAAGAGGAAGTGGACAGATTCTAACAGCCAGAGGGGGTGGATGACCACAAGAAAACAGTCTTTTAGATAGCTAGCCTCATAGCCATGATGACAGCATACACAAGTCCTATACAAGATCAAATCTGACAAAAGCCCAGCATAGACACAGGGAAGTGGGTAAGAAATCACAGCCCACCTAAAGAACTTCTGGCAACTGATGGCTGCTGGGAGGGGAAAAGACAGTGTCTTAAAAGGATGGACTGACATGAGGGGTATTTGCACACACAAATTGGACACTCTAAGACATATTAAGTATGTGTGTATATATATATGTATATATATATATTAAATTGGGTGCAGGGCAGTGTAGGGAGGTGCAGAGAGGGGATCTAAGTATCATCAAACTATATTGTATAAAAATTTCAAAAATTCAATAAAATAATTTAAAAAAAGTCTAATAAAAAACTTTTTTAACAGTTTTTAAATTGAGCTTTTTAAATTTTTTGCAACATTTATCACTCAAATCCAGACCCCCCCCATCCATGCCTCCTCCTATCCCCCACCGAACCCTATGCACTCTGCCACAATGCTGAGTCCTATTCATTCAGGTGAAGAAAACTTCTTTTAAAGATTTTGTATTACCCTCCCTAAAAAAGAAGTTAACCTTTCCCTTCGGCTTCTGCTCTCGATTACTGAGGTGATACTGGATATAGACCCTGTTTTGACTCACTTTTGCTTTGCACTTATAATGTTTAACTAAAATAGTTTTTCTTGTGAGTTCAATTTACTATAGAGTTCTCGAAACTCAGTAAGTTAACGCGAACAAAGAATACATATCCTAAAATTTGTTTAGAAGAATCACAGCTGGCAAATTAGTAACTAAAGAAAACAAAGCTCCCAACATCTTGAAACGTTAATTCATGATTAAGACTTTTTTAGTTAAACAAATATTTTCAAACACTTAAATATTATAACTACAGTTAATGACAATTATATCAAAGTATAAAAGCCTCAAAAAGTTTGACAATCTAAATAAGGCAGACACATTTAAAAAGTTAAATAAATAACTGAAGTTATTTATGTTATAACTTATAAAAGCCGACTATCACAAGTACCATATATGACAGCTATAGTAGATATATATATTGAGACAGATACAGTAGATTTAAAAAAGAAATCTCTATTACCAGGGGCTACTGGAGAAGGGCTCATGGGAAGGGATAAAAGAAGTAGCTATGATTCGAGTAGAAAAAGGAAGAAAAGGACACATACTCCAATAAATAGAAAAACTTGATGATGCATCTGGAAGCACACAGGCTGAGTGAAACAGAGGAGGGACACTGCAGAGGAGAAGGGGTCCTAACCCCAACAGCTCAGAAGAAGTGGCTGGGAGAAACATGGAGAGTCAGGGGAGTGCTCACTCCCTCTCCAAGTCCAGGAGAGTCAGGGGAGTGCTCACTCCCTCTCCAAGTCCAGGAGAGTCAGGGGAGTGCTCACTCCCTCTCCAAGTCCAGGAGAGTCAGGGGAGTGCTCACTCCCTCTCCAAGTCCAGGAGAGTCAGGGGAGTGCTCACTCCAGCTCCAAGTTCAGGAACATGTAGGAGAGTCAAATGATTATTTCACTTTTGACCAAGAGAAGAAAAACTGACTGCTTCTATAAACAAGTCCATGACTCTCAGAAAGCTTACTTCTTACAGAAAACACTTTCAGAAGAACCAGGAGAAGGAACAGTGACAGAGAAGCCAGTTATTTTGGCAAATACTCCCTGACACTAGCGAGAGTGGTTGCATGAGGCAAGACTTCTTGAATGGGAGGAGCAAGCAGAGCTGAGAGAGTGGGCTGGTCACCAGTGCTAGGCATAGAATGCAGATCACCTCCTCCATCACTGGCAAGGCTGCATTTCAAGTCACCTTACAGTCAAACCTGCCAACTACGAATAGCTTTAAGGAGTTGGGCTGAAAGGAGAAGATTCATTTTGTGACTAGATGTAGAAAAATAAAAATGGTGAAAAAGGAAGACACTGGAAGACACCAGTTAAGAGGTTGTGGTCACTAAAACCTATTCTACATAACACTGGTGTCTATCTACCCTTACACCCTCCTGCCTTATAAAATTTAGGGAAACCGAGGTCCAGTGCAAGGAATCAGAAGACAAACACAAGCTGGAGGCAGCAGGAGAAAAGGTCACTTGAGAGCTGCATGTGATGATGCCTCTTGGAAGGCTATACCTGTGGTCTGTTCTGGGTACTGGGAAACCAGCTTGGGGCTGAGCTGCCCAGAAGGCATCCTCAGGTGACTTGGGCAACTCCAAGGAAATCAGAACAGGTCTTTGCCAGGTAATCAACTTATAGTTTGCTGTCCCCTTTCCATTCCTAAGCACCTTTCTGACCTCTGTCAAATTTTCAG